CTCTCACGTCCATAATGTGTTCTGACGCATCTTCGGCCTCCGCTGACGCGGTCACTGCGGCGTACAAACGGACGCATTCCGCGTCCCCAAGCCCGAAACGCCGGCAGCGAGAGCACCGAGACACCTTACACTCGTGACGCACATGTCCTGTTCCGCTGCAACGCAGGCATTGCATAGGCCGACCGGGGGCTACCACTAAGGCTAATTCACCGGCGACTCGTATCTGATGAGGCAGGTCCTCGACTTTCATACCGCTTTTCAGCTTAATGAAAACAGTGCGGGTCGTCGAATTCTTCTCATTTACTCCTTCCACACGTGAGCGTTCCCGGGTCACTTCTGTAACTTTCCCGAACGCTGCCAACGCCGTGCGGACATCTTCGTCCGAAACGCCGTGTAACAGCCAGTGAAGCCGCAGCCTCACCTTCTGCTCCTGAGGGTCGATAACGAGGCAGCGGCGTCCCTTGACCTGGAGTTCTTTCAGTTCAGTCAACCTCTTCGTCACCTCCTGGCTGTTAAAGGTGATGGCCCACACATGGTTGATCTGGTAGGCGCCCAATGCAATTACGTCGAGAAGCAGTCGTTCCTAGTTCAGGGCGTCTCGGAAATCTTCGACCTTGAAAGGCCTCACTCGAATATCACCGTGCAAAAACAGTGTGTTCATAACAATACATCCTGTTGGCAGATTCGGCAAGATGATCTCAAAATCCTTGTCACTTTCGTCTGTAATCCTGTTTCCGTGGCCACCAAGGACCGCCTTTGCCGCTCCGAGGGAGGCCATTATTCCTGCGTCCGACGCGTGCGAGTGCCGGCGAAAGAATGCACTGCGCCACACCAACATGACGTTGATTGTGTGTTAAATACTTAGTTGGCATACAAACTTACGGTTCAAATTAAGTTATGTTTGTCGTGTACACAACATAGACAAGCTCAATACCTGCTACTAAAAATTGCACATTTATTATTTATTTATTTATTTATTTAACATACCTTACAGGCTCTCGTTAGAGCATAGGGTAAGTGGGGCTTACAGAAAAAAAGAAAGAAAAATGAGAACGTATACAGTTCAAATATACAAATAAATGCAACATAACAGCGACACTAATCACAGTAATACTTAAGGCCCACACATGGGCCTTAAGTCTCCAAGTGTATGCACCTCCATACAAATGTCTATGAAATGATGCTAGATGTAATGAGAGAGTAGTTTCTCGCGGAACGCGTTGTTGTTAGTGACTGAAACTATCTCGTCGGGAAGATCATTTCACAGTGAGATTGCCTGTGGCAAAGCAGATAAGTTGAACGCGTGTGTTCTGCCAAAAATACGCTTAAAGCTGCGCTGATTTCGCATGCGTACAGACATGCGATCCGGTGTGTGTAGAGAGAAAGCGAATTGATTTCTGCTAATAATGTACTTGTGAAACAATACAAGGAGGGCTATCTTGCGGCGGATATCCAATGGTTGTAAACCGATCTCGTGTTTAATTTGAGATACACTGCTGTGACATTGGTAGTACTGAGTGATGAAGCGGGCTGCCCTGTTTTGAATGGCTTCGATCATCTGTATTGAATAGTTTTGATAAGGTGACCAAACTGGTGAGGCATATTCTAACTGTGGGCGTACGAATGGTAAATAGGCTAATTTGCGGAACGCTCGATGTGGAGCAATGGAGATTTAGACGTAAATAACCTAGTGTTTTGGATGCCTTGGAACAAATGGAAGTTATGTAGGAAGACCATGAAAGTTTAGAGTCAATAATTACCCCTAGATATTTGTATGATGTGGTTCGAGATAGTTCACTATTTTTAATTTTGTATGAAAAAGTGGAAATCGAGGTTTTTCGGGAAACCGACATAATTTTACATTTTGAAGTGTTCAAGCTCATTAACCGCTTATTACACCAACTGCAAACGAGGTCTAGGTCACCTTGAAGGGCCTGATGATCAGAGGGAGATGTTATGGTTCGATAAATGACACAGTCGTCTGCAAACAGGCGTATACGGGATGAAATGTTAATCGGCAGATCGTTGATGAAGATTAAAAAGAGTAGAGGACCAAGGACGCTACCCTGCGGCACTCCTGAAGTGACTTCTGCGATATCTGAATGAGAATCATTTGCAAATGTGAGCTGTTCACGAAATGAAAGAAAATTTTGAAGCCATGATAGCGTTAAGCAGTCCAATTTAGAGAGGACAGTTTGGAAATCAGACGGCAATGGGCGACACGGTCAAAGGCATTCGAAAAATCGAGGAAAGCGCAATCTCTCTGTGTGTTCATGTCTAGTTAGTCTGTAGATCTGTCGTGAATTCAAGTAGTTGTGTATCGCAAGAGAAACCTTTCCTAAAGCCATGTTGGGTGGAACTAAAAAAATTGTTTGATTCAAGATGACTGTAAATGTGAGAAGCAATGATATGTTCAAGTAATTTACAGCTGATAGAGGTTAACGAGATGGGACGATAATTTTCAACCTGATCTTTACATCCTGCTTTAAATATGGGAATAACTTCTGCGACTTTCCAGTCCCTAGGAAGCTGACCGGTACACAAAGACTGTCTGAAAATGTGAAATAATATTTGAGAGGACATGGGAATTGTATTTTTAGTATCTTTGAATTGATATTATCTAGACCACTAGAAGTAGAAACTTTGAGGTTGCTGATTAGTTTAGTGATGCCCTCAATGTTAATATCTATGGGTGCCATGAAAGGGTAATCAACTTCCGGAAACTCAGGAATGCTAGAATGATCTTCCCGTGTGAAAACAGAAGAAAAAAATGTGTTAAATGCAATCGCACACTGGTCTCTTGGGAGAGGTAATTGATTTTTGCCTTTCAAAGTAATATCTGTCACAGCAGAAGCAGGTGATAATTGTTGCCAAAATTTTCTGGGATTGCATTTTAATAATGATGGTAGGTCATGTATAAAATACTTGAGTTAAGCAGTGAATAACGCCAAAGTATAACTTTTAAGACATTCCTTATATGAATTCCAAGCAGAGGCACTGCAAGCGTGCATCGCGGTCCTATACAGCCTTTTTTTTCGATTTCTCAAAGTTCGCAAATATTTCTTAAACCATGGGTTTCTTTTATCATTAAATATGGCAATTTCAGGGACGTATTTGTCGACTAATAAGGTAATCTCCTCTCTAAACAATGACCAATTATCGTCGACGGTACGACTTGACAATGAGGGCAAGAATGTGCTGTGATAGAATTCTTCCAAGTCAGAATTCATACAACTATAATTGGCCTTACTGTAGTCTCTAATCACTTTTGTAGTTTTACCCGCAACTTTGAGAGGAATGTTAATTGATAATTGAATGAGCTTATGGTCACTAAACCCTTCAAAGCAAGAGATTTCACCTACATTATCAGGATCTGAGGTAAGTAATAAATCCAAAATATTATTGCCCCGTGTTGGCTGGTTGATTATTTGAGCGAAACTAAAATCAAGGGCAAAATTCACAAAGTCGAGAGACATTTTTGAAGTGGATGAACAATTGATCCAATCAATTTGTGGTAAATTGAAGTCACCAAACAGATAGACATTATTAGTGCGGCATTTCGCAATAGCTGATGTGGTGCTGCTGCGAAGTTGATCTATAAATGATGGTTCAGAATCGGGAGGACGGTAACCTACGCCTACTAGTATTTTAGTGGCACAAATCGTGCACGTGACCCAGACAATTTCTAAGTTTGAGTTTGTATCGATGACAAAAGTAGGTATAGATTTTTTTATAACAATAAGGACACCTCCCCCACGTTTGCTTTGACGATCACGTCGGAAGACGTTATAATCGGCATTCCCGTGAAGAATTTCACTGTCATCAACATCCTGAGTAAGCCACGTTTCAGTGAGCAGGAGGACATCAGTTAGGCTATCTTCTAAGAATGAACAAATGAGATCACGCTTGTGCAGTAAACTGCGAATGTCAGTAAAGGAAACACATACAGCCGGTGCAGATTTACTCGGAATTTCTCTAGAGACATGCGCACGCCTATGTCTCAGGCTATCTAGCAGACAGCTTGACAGCGTGAGTAGCACTATCATATATGTACGTTTTAGCGCCCATGCGCAGACGATCAACGACGAGCTTGTAGGGCTTGTTTTCACTTTTGGCAAATTCGATTAGCTTTCTTCTGGCTTGTAGCGTGGGTAAAAAGAAATCTTCGCGTACTGAAAATGTCGATCCCTTTAGTTTATGAGCTGAAGCAAGAACGCTCTGCTTATCTTTGAAAAAAGCAAATTTTGCTATTATTGGCCGGCATCTGCCAACAGTAAAGCGAGCAAGTCTGTGAACTCGTTCAATTGCGCGGCACTTGTATTCTTCTGTAGTTTCTCCGAGCAAAATTTAATCACCTTCTGCTCAGATGCATTCCAGTCCTCGTTTTCATCATCTTCTATTCCAAAAAATAGCAAGTTACAGCGCCTGAGTTTGTTTTCCGTGTCATCACATCGGGATGTGATTTCCACGAGTTTCTTAGAGATGGAGGACATAGCGGAACTCGAAGTGGCATCTGTGGTATATGAGGAGTGTAGACTACCTTCCAGCTTCGACACCCTCTCTGAAAGAAGCTTTACCTCAACGTTCGTGTTTATATGGCCTTGTTTTATGCCCCTGACCTCCTCAAGTAAGGCAGTTTGAGTAGCTTCAATTCGACGCACTGTTTCGAGTACTGCACCATCCGATTTGGGCTCAAATGTAGGAGAACTGGTATTACCTTCGAGTACTGACACTCTCTCCGATATGCCTTTCAAATCAGCTTCTATGCGCTGTACAGTCGACAAAACACTACACAACATATTTTCCATTTTGGCTCCAGGCCCGGGATTTAACTCGACGTCACCCGACAACACAAGCAACAACCCTAAGTACGCTGAGTGCACATTTGACAGGCAAGATAACACTCGTTTCATAGCACTGCAAAGTTCAGGTGGGCACGACAACGCAACAAGAAAGTAGTCATTGCTTTTGCAACATGAAGCATATGCGAAATAGCTAACCTGGAAAAGCAGCATATTTGAGTGCGCCGTTTTCGCTGCGGTGCCGTGCCCAAGGAAGGTTGGTCTCGGTGGGCGTATATATGTGTTCGCCGCGGTGCACATCCCAATGGACGCGTCACTGTACGACCAGGGTTGCTTGGCGAGGCTCGCGTTGTCGAATGAACTTGGCTGCACGGGTAGATCCAATGCTGCAGGCGCCAGTAGATCCATTCCGCTATTAATCCAAGCATTTGAAGTCGAAGCCAAGTTGAAGCAGGGCAGGACACAGGAGAGCATCGCCTGGAATAGCAGCATAGTTGAGTGCACCGTTTTCGCTGCGGTGCCGTGCCCAAGGAAGGTTGGTCTCGGTGGGCGTATATATGTGTTCGCTGCGGTGCACATCCCAATGGACGCGTCACTGTACGACCAGGGTTGCTTGGCGAGGCTCGCGTTGTCGAATGAACTTGGCTGCACGGGTAGATCCAATGCTGCAGGCGCCAGTAGATCCATTCGGCTATTAATCCAAGCATTTGAAGTCGAAGCCAAGTTGAAGCAGGGCAGGACACAGGAGAGCATCGCCTGGAAAAGCAGCATATTTGAGTGCGCCGTTTTCGCTGCGGTGCCGTGCCCCAAGCAACTGCGGCCTGTAATAAACACACGCAACGGCGGCCTGTAACGATTGCCACTATGTTAATGGCACTAGTGCTATTTTTTTTACAATTCACAACTTCAAGAAAAAAAAAACCAAGTGGACTGGGGAGCAGCAACAGTTTACCTGCGGGGTCTGCCAAGTTTATTATCCGTTTCGCGCTCGTTCTAAAGGGCAACATCTGCTCACGCTTTATGACGCTTCTAGACTCATTCCATAAATACGCCCACCTAATTTATTTGATTGAGTATTGGGATGCTTTTCGCGCAATGTAGAGGGCGGTCGCGCCAGCGCAATGCTGTAGCTCTTTCGCTAAAGCAACAATTACATAACGGCTTGGCTAAAACGAATGCAGTGTGCCGGAAACATTACGCTATCATATTGGTTCACCAAGCATACGAATTGCCACGTCTGAGGTCTCGTACAAAAGCTATAGAAGTGCCGGCGAGTGCGACTGGCGGCTGTCGGTGAGAAGACACTTAATTACGTTCTCTGGGAGTGCTTTAATAGCGTCGCATCGACGTTTGTTGCTTCTTGAGCGGACACCATACACAATGAAAAATGCTTCATATAGGTTATTTGATGCCATGGCTGTGCTGTATTGTCATACCTAATTGTCGAAATCGTGTATTCTGAAACCCGGAAGCACAAATAACACAAGTGTACGGGCTTGGTCGGTAGGCCTAACCTTTGCTGGAAATCATGGTGGTAGAACATGTAGTGTACAGATCCCAGCTTAGTACACTATATAAATGGCCCGCCATTAAAAGCCCACCCATCCATGCATGGCATGGCTTACATACCACGCTGATGGTGCAATTAGAGCTGGTTCGCTACCTCACATGGCATTTTTTTATTCTTCCAGCGATATACATTTGCTGTACAACATTCTACAGGCGTCCTTGGATGAGATTGAAATATTGCTCAGTCGTATGAAATGTTTCTGAATGCTAACAAAAGTGCCTTTCTTGATTTGCCATTGACTTTTAATGTGGATATTTCACTAACGTATGGACCGGCCTGTAAGCGGGCCTGCAGTTGGGTGATGACAACTTTTATTGTCGTTGAAACGAAGTAGATATAGGCAAGAATGGCGACGTAACAGGTCACGTGATTTTAATGAAATAGCCGGTGACGTCGGAGTGACTCAGGCATGCCTAATTTCCCTTTTCGTAGGGAAGCAAATAATTACACTGGAATTTCTGGTTGTGGGTAGCGGCAGGGCTCCCGGCGTGGCCTTGTGCTTCTCCGTAGCTCTTGAGCGGGCTGCACGTCGTCTAGTAGTTCGGACTCGTCACGAGGTCTCTCTTCGCGATGTGTAGGTGCGTCTGACAGATGCTCGCGTGTGCGTCTAATTTCCTGGCCCTCTTCCGTCTACACCACCACGGAGCGCGGCGTCTCGGCTGGCCTTAGAACGACCGCAGGTGTCCAGCTCTTCTCATGGGTATCGTATGTAATCACCCTCTGGCCAGGTGATAGAGGTGGCAGGTGCCTGGAGCGGCGATTGTAGCATAGCTGAGTCACCTCTCATTGGCTGAAAGCCGCAGGCGCACGTTGCTCGGGCGGTTGCCTTGTGGCCGAAAAATGCTGTTAGCGCGACCCGGCAAGCCTGCTCTGTAGATCCGGTAGCTTTGCAACGTCCCTCCTTGAAATGACGCGAGAATTAGTCCCCGTGTCTAATTTCAAGTCATTGGTTGGCCTTCAATGTCCACCATCGCGCTCCAGTGGTCTGTGTTGACCGTGCTCACCGTTAATGTTTGCAGAAAAAAATTGCTGTCTTCTGCGCATAGTTTTCGTAGTTCTTTCTTCTTGCAAGGAACGGTTCGCGAAGGCTTTCTCAATTTGCATGCTCGGGCAAAGTGGTTAAATCCTCCGCACTTATTGCATGATTTACCGGTGGCGGGGCATCTTTGGCCGCGGTGTGCGCGATAGCCGCAGCTGCCGCAGGCATCCCCTTTCTTTGCGACTGCGTTAACTGCCGTGTCCTGCGCTGTCTCCGCGGCTTCACTGATTTCACGATACTGCTGTTTCCTTGCTCTTGCGTGCGACAGACATCAATAGCCTTCTTTTACGAAGGGTTTTCCGCAATCAGTTTCTGCTGCAGGTTCTTGTCATGAATACTCAGAATAATACGACTGAGCAGCATCCGGTCTTCCATTACCCCAAATTCACAGTTTGTGGCTAACATTCGTAGCTCCGTCAGCCACTCATTGAAAGGTTTTCATTCCCTATCAAAAAAAACGAATGGTGGGCATGGTGTAGACCAACACCCACCATTATAATGGATTAATGTAGTGAGTGAATGGTGGGAAACGCCCACCATGGCGCATGGTGGGATATGTTGGGTTCTGCAGTGCCGGCAATGCTTAAGCGCGAAATGACGTCAGAATCACCGTGACGAGCTGCCACAAAAATAAAAAATAATTCTATAAAAACCGTACAAAAAACACCCGTCCCGTAAAAAAACGTGCCACGGAGGATCGAACGTGCAACTGCGGATTTTCATTCGGAGACAATAACAACTGCACTATACCAACCTTTTTTTCTTTATTGCAGCATGTGACATTCAAACAACAGCAAACACAGTCGGACTGAGCTTCTAGCTCAATTCCATGGCTTCAAGGCAGATGAGCCGTTTGCCACACATATTAAAGTAGTTTCAAATGACATATTTCACCCATAACATTTAGCAGTTCATCATTGTAGCAAAGTTTTGCAAAAACTTCTCACAACTTGCACATACGTTCAATAAAATAAATGCGTACTGGCCACGCGTCTAATTCACAATGTCTGACTGCCATGCGGCTTAGCCATATGCTGCGTAAGCCAAGGAGAAAGAACATATCATAATTTAGTAGGCCAAGTTCTATTGCTAAAAATCGAATACCATGTGAAGTAAGAGGCAAATCTTTCTTAAGTGTTCTCTGTAGAACATCCCAGAACAAAAATGCGTCCCAGCAATCGATAAAAACATGTTCTACCGACTCAGGCTTTCGGCACAATAAACAGTTAGATCCCCAAGGTAAGAAGTCGCCTCTTTGTTCTAGCCACGTTTTAACCAGCAGCGTATTCGTGTGCAGCTTATAAAAGAACGTTTTAACTACAGCTGAAACGGTCATCTTTTTAACTCTTTTCAGAACGTCTTCTCCTTGGCTTCCACTATACTTAGAACTAGACATTAGATACGTACTCCAAACTAAATCTAGCACTAAGATATCGAAAATCTGCAAACAACCTTCTCGAAGAAGAGAAAGGCTGTGACACCAAAGCGGAATTCATCAATCGAGGTAGCATAAAGGTTCGCAATGCCGATGCTAGCCTGATTGAAGGAATGTACGGTAAAAAACGGATCTTGTTGATCTCGTAAGAAAGAGAACCTTGATAGAACCTGCCTCAAAAATATATGTGGGCAGGCTAAACACCTCTCTTTAGTCTTAAGAAGAGGTTGTTGCGGCTTGTCCGTTCGTAATGGGATTGCCACACGAAAACAGCAAGAAGCCTATGAATTCTTTGGATATTGATCCTGGAACACGACAGTACTTGCAGCAAGTAAACCAGCCGCGAAACTAAGAAGACGTTGCATATTTTCGTGCGAGCGAAGATGGACAGATGACGGCCTCCCCATTTTTGTGTCAGAACAGATAGCCCTTTGGTTTTCTCGGACCACAGATCATCGTTGTTCTTATACTGGTCAAGCGGAACACCGACGTATGTGTTATGCTTGCTTGACCATTTGATCCGTTCATAATAGCTTGGAACGCTTCCCATTGCATGCCACAGCCCAACACACTTGTCTATGTTTACAATGCTACTAGTATCATCACAATACCTTCGTACAATGCTCAAGGAGGTTGGTATGCTCTCCTGACTAGTACAAAACATTGCAACATCATCAGCCTATGCCAATATCTTCACCTCACACGCTCCTAAATGAAAACCTTGTATATTTATATTTTTTGTAATGGCCACACACAGAGGTTCCAGGTACAAAGCAAATACTAAAGGTGAAAAGTGGCATGCTTGCTGTACAGATGAACATATATTAATTCTACTAGATAACTCACGGTTCACAATCAACTTGGTTGAACAATTGTCGTAAGCCATCTGAACACGCTTCAGTATCACCGAGCCAACGCCAACATGTTCTAACAATTTAAAAAAATGCTTTGACAAACAAGATCAAAAGCCTTCGCTAGATCGATTTGCAACATCGCAACTCTTCTGAAGTCAGCGTCACAGCACTCCGATATGCTTCGTGTTACATGTACGTTCGTGAAAATTGATCTTCCTCTTATTCGACAGGTTTGATGTGTGGGCCAACCAGTGTACTTATGACTGTTTGCAATCGCATCGCCAGAACTTTCATTAGTATTTTGTAGTCAACATTCGTCAATGTTATCGGCCTATAACCAGACACATATTTCTGTTTTACGGGGTCTTTACTTTTCGGGATCAGAACAGTGTGTGCTTTCTTAAATGAAGGTGGTAGGCCACCCTTGTTAAAGGATTCAGCGAAAACATTTTGTAAAACTGTGGCTATGTCTGCCTTGAAAGTCTTGTAGAATACTGCCGTTATCCCGTCTAGGCCAGGAGATTTTCCGTTATGCAATTGATCTATAACTATTTTTCTTTTCCGCAGTTATATTAACCAATCAATCTTCTGTATCTCGGTGATCTAGCGTTGGCAAAATGCTTAGAAAATCTTTTTTGAAAAGTGGCTTCTTTAGGTATACGATTGGAAATTAATTCGCGATAATATTCTGTAAACGCATTCTTTATATCTTCGGGTTTAGTCGTTAACTGTCCATTATATTCAATTTCTGTGATGTCTTTAGCACGCGCATACTTTTTTCTGTAGTGAGAATCGCTGATTAGGCATTTCATCTGCAAGTAACCTGTCTGCTAGGGCCCTTAAAACCGCACCT